TTTTATTTTACGAGTGTTCAAGCTGCCTTTTCCTAAAAACTAAGAAATAATTAAAATTAATTTCAATTAATTTAAAAAGGAATAAAATTATTAAGAAATTTTCCGTGTCTACAGTTTTCTTCTTAGATTGAATTATTCTGTTTATGAATGGACTGGGCTGATCAGAAATTATTTTCTTTTACGAGTGTTCAAGCTGCCTTTTCCCAAAACCTCAAAAAAAATTAAAATTAACTGCGATTAACTTATATGAAATAGAATTTTTGAAATAATATTCCGTTTTTACATTTTTCTGCTTAGATTGAATTATTTTGATTAGGAATGGACTAGGCTGAACAGAAAATATTTTATTTTACGAGCTTTCAAGCTGCCTTTCCCTAAAAAATAAATAAAAATTAAAACTAACTGCAATTAATTTAAAAAGGAATAAAATTTTTAAGAAATTTTTCGTGTCTACAGTTTTCTACTTAGATTGAATTATTCTGATCATAAATAGACTGGGCTGAACAGAAATTATTTTATTTTACGAGTGTTCAAGCTGCCTTTTTCTAAAAACTAAGAAAAAATTAAAATTAATTTCAATTAATTTAAAAAGGAATAAAATTATTGAGAAATTTTCCGTGTCTACAGTTTTCTACTTAAATTGAATTATTCTGATCAGGAATGGACTGGGCTGAACAGAAATTATTTTATTTTACGAGTGTTCAAGATGCCTTTTCCCAAAACCTCAAAAAAAATTAAAATTAACTGCGATTAACTTATATGAAATAAAATTATTGAAATAATATTCCGTTTTTACATTTTTCTGCTTAGATTGAATTATTTTGATTAGGAATGGACTAGGCTGAACAGAAAATATTTTATTTTACGAGATTTCAAGCTGCCTTTCCCTAAAAAATAAAAAAAATTAAAACTAACTGCAATTCATTTAAAACGGAATAAAATAATTGAATAATTTCCTGTTTCTACATTTTTCTACTTAGATTGAATTATTCTGATCAGGAATGGACTGGGCTAAACAGGAATTATTTTATTTTACGAGTGTTCAAGCTGCCTTTTCCTAAAAACTAAAAAAAATTAAAATTAACTGCAATTAATTTATATTAAATAAAATTATTGAAATAATATTCCGTTTCTACAGTTTTCTACTTAGATTGAATTATTCTGATCATAAATAGACTGGGCTGAACAGAAATTATTTTATTTTACGAGTGTTCAAGCTGCCTTTTCCTAAAAACTAAGAAATAATTAAAATTAATTTCAATTAATTTAAAAAGGAATAAAATTATTGAGAAATTTTCCGTGTCTACAGTTTTCTTCTTAGATTGAATTATTCTGTTTATGAATGGACTGGGCTGATCAGAAATTATTTTCTTTTACGAGTGTTCAAGCTGCCTTTTCCCAAAACCTCAAAAAAAATTAAAATTAACTGCGATTAACTTATATGAAATAAAATTATTGAAATAATATTCCGTTTTTACATTTTTCTGCTTAGATTGAATTATTTTGATTAGGAATGGACTAGGCTGAACAGAAAATATTTTATTTTACGAGCTTTCAAGCTGCCTTTTCCTAAAAAATAAAAAAAAATTAAAACTAACTGCAATTCATTTAAAACGGAATAAAATAATTAAATAATTTCCTGTTTCTACATTTTTCTACTTAGATTGAATTATTCTGATCAGGAATGGACTGGGCTGAACAGAAATTATTTTATTTTACGAGTGTTCAAGCTGCCTTTTCCTAAAAACTAAAAAAAAATTAAAATTAACTGCAATTAATTTATATTAAATAAAATTATTGAAATAATATTCCGTTTCTACAGTTTTCTACTTAGATTGAATTATTCTGATCATAAATAGACTGGGCTGAACAGAAATTATTTTATTTTACGAGTGTTCAAGCTGCCTTTTCCTAAAAACTAAAAAAAAATTAAAATTAATTTCAATTAATTTAAAAAGGAATAAAATTATTGAGAAATTTTCCGTGTCTACAGTTTTCTTCTTAGATTGAATTATTCTGTTCATGAATGGACTGGGCTGATCAGAAATTATTTTCTTTTACGAGTGTTCAAGCTGCCTTTCCCCAAGAAATAAAAAAAAATTAAAACTAACTGCAATTAGTTTAAAAAGAAATAAAATAATTAAGTAATTTTTCGTTTATACATTTTTCTACTTAGATTGAATTATTCTGATCAGGAATGGGCTGGGCTGAACAGAAATTATTTTATTTCACGAGTGTTCAAGATGCCTTTTCCCAAAAACTCAAAAAAAATTAAAATTAACTGCGATTAATTTATATTAAATAAAATTATTGAAATAATATTTCATTTCTAGAGTTTTCTACTTAGATTGAATTATTTTGATTAGGAATGGACTAGGCTGAACAGAAAATATTTTATTTTACGAGCTTTCAAGCTGCCTTTTCCTAAAAAATAAAAAAAAATTAAAACTAACTGCAATTCATTTAAAACGGAATAAAATAATTGAATAATTTCCTGTTTCTACATTTTTCTACTTAGATTGAATTATTCTGATCAGGAATGGACTGGGCTGAACAGAAATTATTTTATTTTACGAGTGTTCAAGCTGCCTTTTCCTAAAAACTAAAAAAAAATTAAAATTAACTGCAATTAATTTATATTAAATAAAATTATTGAAATAATATTCCGTTTCTACAGTTTTCTACTTAGATTGAATTATTCTGATCATAAATAGACTGGGCTGAACAGAAATTATTTTATTTTACGAGTGTTCAAGCTGCCTTTTCCTAAAAACTAAAAAAAAATTAAAATTAATTTCAATTAATTTAAAAAGGAATAAAATTATTGAGAAATTTTCCGTGTCTACAGTTTTCTTCTTAGATTGAATTATTCTGTTCATGAATGGACTGGGCTGATCAGAAATTATTTTCTTTTACGAGTGTTCAAGCTGCCTTTCCCCAAGAAATAAAAAAAAATTAAAACTAACTGCAATTAGTTTAAAAAGAAATAAAATAATTAAGTAATTTTTCGTTTATACATTTTTCTACTTAGATTGAATTATTCTGATCAGGAATGGGCTGGGCTGAACAGAAATTATTTTATTTCACGAGTGTTCAAGATGCCTTTTCCCAAAAACTCAAAAAAAATTAAAATTAACTGCGATTAATTTATATTAAATAAAATTATTGAAATAATATTTCATTTCTAGAGTTTTCTACTTAGATTGAATTATTCTGATCAGGAATGGACTAGGCTAAACAGAAATTATTTTATTTTACGAGTGTTCAAGCTGCCTTTCCCCAAAAAATAAAAAAAATTAAAATTAACTGCAATTCATTTAAAAAGGAATAAAATAATTGAGTAATTTCCCGTTTCTACATTTTTTTACTTAGATTCAATTATTCTTTTCAGGAATGGACTGGGCTGAACAGAAATTATTTTATTTTACGAGTGTTTAAGCTGCCTTTTTCTAAAAACTAAAAAAAAAATAAAAATTAATTTCAATTAATTTGAAAAGGAATAAAATTATTGATAAATTTTCGGTTTCTACATTTTTCTATTTAGATTGCTTTATTCTGATCACGAATGGACTTGGCTAAACAGAAATTATTTTATTTTACGAGTGTTCAAGATGCCTTTTTTCAAAAACTCAAAAAAATTAAAATTAACTGCAATTAGTTTAAATAGGAATAAAATTATTGAGAAATTTTCCGTGTCTACAGTTTTCTACTTAGATTGAATTATTCTGATCAGGAATGGACTGGGCTGAACAGACATTATTTTATTTTTCGAACGTTTAAGCTGCCTTTTCCCAAAAACTCAAAAAAAATTAAAATTAACTGCAATTAATTTAAAAAGGAATAAAATTATTCACTAATTTTCTGTTTCTACATTTTTCTACATAGATTGAATTATTCTGATCAGGAATGGACTAGGATGAACAGAAATTATTTTATTTTACGAGTGTTCAAGCTGCCTTTTCCAAAAACTAAAAAAAATTAAAATTAACTGCAATTTATTTGTTTTAAATAAAATTATTGAATTAAATTTTCGTTTCTATATGTTTCTATTCAGATTGAATTATTCTCAACCAGAATTCACTAATAAAGTATTTTATTTTACGAGTATTCAAGCTGCGCTTTCCCAAAAACTCAAAGAATTGAAATTAATTGCATTGAATTTATAATTAAATTAAATTATTAAGTTAAATTTCCGTTTCTATATTTTTCTACTCAGATTGAATTATTCTTAACAAGAACTTTGTTCGCACATTTTGAGCATATTTTTTGGAAAAAAAATGTTGATCTTAACTATAGGCTCATATGTAAAACACTTTTTGTATCTTATAGGCTTTAGTACAACTAACATTTTTAACTTATCTTATAATTTATAAGTATATCTATGACTAAACATCTTATTGCGCCAGGAACATCTTTATTTAATAAACTTTAAAAAACTTTATTCATGTTTAATAATTGAATACTTTTGAAGAATGGTTTATTCATAAAGAATTAAATTCTTGACAAGAATTTTATTCATATGAAAACGAGTAATTTAATTATTTCATAAAAATGTAATTGAAATTGTGTTTAAATTAGTGATTTCTTTTTATTAAAATATTTTAAAATAATGGAATTCTAAAAATAATTAAATTTTGTCGAAAAATTTTGTATTTATAAAGATAATTGAAATTTTTACAATTGTTTTTAGATTTTTTGAAAATAATTGAATTTTTTATAAGAATTTTATAAACATTCCCGTGTAGAAAAGTCGCTTGGGTTCCAAGGTGGCCCAGACTGGGTTCCCCAATGTCTAAACTGGGCAACCCAGACAACGCCCAAACTGGGTTTGTAACGCTAATCCCAATTAATTCCCAAGATTGGGAAATCCCAGCTGGGGCCAGATTATGGTTTCCCACTGTTAGTTTAAATATACTTATATATCATAAAAAATCTAGGCTTTTAATTTAAGTATGAAAACGTTTATTTTTTATTTTAAATACAATATTTCTGGTTTTCTTTAAAAATGAATTAGTTATTAATTTAGTAATAGAAATACTATAACAATAAGCGTTCTTTTCGTCCACCTTCGCAATCTCTTGCTCCACTAATTACTGACCCAAGTGCATCTATCACAGATTTTTCTAAACCTTTATCTTTATCATCACCGCCATGTGTTTGAACAACAGCATCTGATTAGAAAATAACAAATTATAAAATGAAATTGAATTATAACTAAATTAAAAAAATTAGATTATATTATTTTTTCAAATAATATAAAATTTTACATACCCACTATACATTTGTGTATTCCATATTTGTTTAAAACAAATTTGTTCCCTTGCTGTTTAACGTTCGTGAATTTTAAGAGCAGCTCCTTTGACATATATTTTTTCATGATATTCAGGACGCTCATTGAGATGCTTAGTTCCTTATCAATAAGGAAATATAAAGAGGACATCTGAAAATAATTTTAATTTTAGTTTTGCAACTAAATATTGAAAAATAATGGTTTTTATGATTTAATAAAAAAAAGTTCAGAATGTAAAGAATTTATAATAATTTCTCAATTTATAATCAAAATTATTATTTATTATTATAAACATTTTAATATATTTATAAAAATACTTACAAAATCATCGCAAAACTGTTGTTCTTGCAATTTTGTATTGAACTCATCAAATTCTTCCATATTCGTAAATGGTAAATTTAAACTATTATTTACAACAAATCCTTTGGCTTTAGATAAGCCATTTTTTAATATCAGGGATTGAATCAATCCTAGCGTCGAATCTTGCTTAGAGCATATTTCCTCAACCTGAACGCTTAGGCCCTTTATTGCAGCCAATAGCAGACACGTATCTGTAAAAACATATGAAATTAATATTTAAATGAAGTAAAGTTTTATAGAAATATCACAATTATAATATATTTTATTGATAGTTCACCTGAAGAAACAGATTTCGATTTATGTTTCCCCTTCGTTTTAATCGTCTCGCTGTCCATATTTCCAAGAACTTCTGTAAATTAAAATTTAAAAATATTTGATATTATAGTGAACAATTTATTAGAAAATTTAAACACCAACCATTATTAAAATCATATCTTTGTTTAATAGATTTCTTATGCGGTTTTAATTTCATTCTCGTAGTTTGAGAATTTAATGACTCATTTTGAATGAATTCATCGTCGAATTCTTCAATCGTTCCATCTGAAATTAGTGAATTTAGTTTAACAAAAATAAAAAAGTAGAAATTTATTTATTTTATTTATTAATTTATTGCTTATTTTTAATTTTTCAAAATTATTTAGTAGAATAAATAATGAAAATTCTTGTCACGAACCTTTACTAAAATGGTCCTGACATTTATCAGAATCCTTATATTTTTGCGGTGTTTTTTCAACGGACGAAAAACTTTTATTTAAATTATCAAAACTTTCATCAGCAGAATTTTGATATGGATAATCTTTAACGAAATTTCTATTTATTTCATCTATATATTATTAATAACAATTTATTAACGATAAATAAAAAAATTTACAGTAAAATAAATTATAAGAATTGAAAATACGAACCATTTAAATTATTATTTTGTTTTAGAAGTACGTCAAACTTGTTTATTTTAACCTTTTCGATTCTAGTGATGACAGGTTTCTCTCCATATGGACTATTTCTAACTAAATTATTATTGCAATTATCTTTCCTATTTTTGTTGTCAGTTTTAGTTCTAATTGATATTTTCGTATCTGGTGATGAAGCACTTGTAGTCGACACTAAAATTAAAAGAAATTAATTGGAAATATGTCGAAAAACTTTTCAAATGTTATTTACAATCATAATTACCTTTCTCTGGTTTTAAATCGTCTTTTTTATTTTTCGACCTTCCGGTTTTTGGTTTTTAGATTTTTTCGTTTTGTGTGTTCTTATTTTTTTTCGACTTACTAAATCTTTGATCTCATTTTGTATAGAGGAACAGTCTGAAGATGAAGATGTAAAATGATCTAACGCCTCTGGTAACTGAAGATTTAGCAAACTACTTTCTTTAGCCACTTCTCTAACTTGTTTTTTAATATATTCAGCTTTTTGTCCTGAACCGAATTCGGAATCGGTTGTGTAGATGGTTTTATAATCATTTTTTAATTTATCCAACTTTTGTTTAGCTTCTTCATAAGTCTCTACAAAATAATATATTTAATAAAATAATTTAAAAAGTATTTGTATAAGTCTATTAATTTTTGTTAGAGGATTGTTTAGAACATTTTAAAAAAATTTTAATTTCAGAATATAGAAATTTTTTATTAAATATAATAATTATTGAAGTTAATTATATTAATTAATATACATACTGCCTTCTCCAACAAAATCAATATGATAGTTTGACCAGTCTTCTAATGGGGGAGATTTTGTTTCAACAAGGTGGTGAAAAAAAGTAGACTTGTCCTCCTTGTAGGGGGGTGGCATAAATTTAGTGAGATAATGCCCTCTTCTCTTATCATAGGTGATCCATAAAAGAGGTACGATGTCCGTTTGCCTCCTCCTACTTTTTGGTCCGCGAGAAATAAATTCGACTATTTGAAAATCGTAGACCTTGTCTGAGTAATTTCTAGTGTTATTCTCCATAATTGACTATAAAATAATAGAAATTTGTTAAAATATTTGTCTAAAATAAATTGAAAAATATGAAGATAAATAGAAAAACAAAGAGACTCTCTAGCGAAAATAATAATGTCAGTACATTATTAAGTTCGCTAGCTAAATGAATAAAAAGTTTAGGCTGTTAGTATTATCCATTTTTTAAGGTTGTTCAACAATGTGCCAACAAACTACAATTTTCTTTTATAGAATCTTAAAACTATATATTTTGATTCAACATATATTGTTAAACAATAAATATTTAATTTTATGTGTATCTATATATTTCATTTTGATAAGGCTGCGCCTACAACAGAAAAAATAATGTATAGAAAATTGTGTAATGTATAGTGTAATTGCCCCTGACAGTTGTCAATGCCAAAAACAATACACATTACACGACAAATTACACATTATTTTTTTCTATTGTAGACGCAGCCTAAATGATTATGAATAAAATATTGTTTTAAAAATTCAACAAACAGAAATGTGGAAAATATTTCACAGAAAAATAAGCAATTGTTTTGAGGTTATGTACATGGTTTTAATATCCTTGTCTAGCGAACTAAGCAGCCGAAATTCCTAATTTACTCTTACAGAGGACTAAATAATATAAACACCTCTGAATTAATAACATCATAATATAAACTGCGTTTTTAAAACATTCTTAGAATAAAATTATTTAAACATCGCTTGGTTAGATACACATGGAAACGCAGAGCTTTCTATCGCAATTACAAGATTAAAATGAATGAAATCTAGATTCAAAACTTCTTGTTTGGAACATAAATATTATTTATGTTATACCTACCTTTGTTTGAAAGCCAAAAACATCAAAAATAAAATGAAATCGGTAAAAATTAAAATCTTTAGCACACACAACCACATGGGAACAGACTGGAGCAGACGGAATTTAGACGGAAGCAGAAAATGCTATGTTCTGCTAAAGGGTGACGACAACACTCTTCGTTAACCAATCAGAAGTGGTCACGTGATAACGTTCGCTAAAGGCGCGCTTTTTTTTAACTTTTAAAATTAATAAATTGAATTATAAATAAATTATATAATACTTTACACTGAATAACAAGACCTTATAACATATCATTTTAATTCACATGATATTCACATGAATTTTGACATAACGATAAAATAATTATGCGTTTCGTTATAAAGTGATATTCATAATATTGTTTTTTTTCTACAATTGAATTTTAATTGCATGATTTAATAAAATTTAAAAAAATAAAATAGAATTATATTTTATTTTAAATAAATAATTATTATTTAAATTCAACAAAATAAGAAATTTTATCTCAATAATAACTTTAAAACTATATTCTTATTTCTTATTAATCATAACACAGCCCCACGAAAAAAAGTGTCGTGCGCGTCAGACCAGACTAGTCATTTCCTATGTATTTTGACGCGCTGAACACGAATCCGAAGTCCGTTTTGCTCCATCACGTCAGGATTTTTTTCTAACCTCAAAAAATCTGTCGGATTTTGAGAGGTAGGCTATTTTTTCTTAAATTAATGGATTTACTTCAAACTTGGTAACTAGGGGTTTTTTGGGTCGCTGATGACAAATTTGAAGTTAGATTTTCAAAATTCAAAATGGCGGCTCCAATATGGCGGACGAATTTTTTAAAAGTTAATGGATTTACTTCAAACTTGGTAACTAGGGGTTTTTTGGGTCGCTGATTACGAATTTAAAGTTAGATTTTCAAAATTCAAAATGGCGGATCCAATATGGCGGACGAATTTTTTAAAAGTTAATGGATTTACTTCAAACTTGGTAACTAGGGGTTTTTTGGGTCGCTGATTACGAATCTGAAGTTAGATTTTCAAAACTCGAAATGGAAATTCTTATATACATAAGTAAGGTATTCACGTCCTTTCATGGTAGCGCACTCTTTTGTCCTCAAAGGATCTGTGTAATGGTTTTCGTTTCAAATTGGTGCCTCCAGGTACAATATCCCTTTTCAGCATCCAACAGTAGTCAGACATCATATTTACATCCCATCTTCCTTGATAACGACGCTCAAATTATTTAAGATCTTGATGGAATCGTTCTCCTTGTTCTTCACTGTAATCTCCCAAATTTTCAGGGAATCGATCCCGATGCGAGTCTAAGTAATGCATCTTTATGCTCATTAAGCATCCTAACTTAACAAAATTTTTAATCATATCACTAACTATTTGCTCCCAATTTTCACTCTTGTGATTACCCAGAAAATTTTCGACAACTGCTTTGAAACTAAGCCATGCGGCTTTCTCCTTTTTATTCATCTTGGTGATAAATTGCTCATCTTTTAACAATTTGCGAATTTGTGGTCCGTCAAAAACCCCTTCTTTTAGTTTCGCTTCAGATTTTTCTGGAAACTTTTGTTCCAGGTATTTAAAACAGTTTCCTTCTTTATCTAAGGATTTGACAAATTGTTTCATTCCTCCTAGTTTCGTGTGTAAGGATGGAATTATCACCTTTGAAGGGTCGATTAGAGGATTTTCTATTATATTTTTTGAACCTGGTTCGAAAGAATTTCTTTTTGGCCATTGTTTTTTAATGTAGTGATTTGCTCGATCTCTACTGTCCCACAAACACAGGAAACATGGTGTTTTTGTAAAACCTGATTGTTGTCCAAGTAGTATGCTTAAAATCTTAAAATCTCCACAAATTTGCCAGTTGTGTTCTCGGTATCTAATTTTATCCAAAACTAGTTTCATATATTCATAGTTTTCTTTCATTTCCGTTGAATGCGCTATTGGAATTGGAGCATAAATATTAGTATTATGTAGTAGTACTACTTTTAAACTTCTTTTCGAAGAGTCAATAAATAGTCTCCAATTTTCATCTTTGTATATATTTGTTTTTAATTTATTCATGAGTCCGACAACATCTGAGCAATATACCAACGACGGATTTTCATCTTTTGTAAAATATTGTCGGAATTCTTTTTCTCTGTCTCGATAAAAGCTAGCTGTTGTGCCTTTTGATAACAAGTTTTTCTTCTTCAACACTGATGCTAGGTGTTCTGCACAATCCTTCGGCAATTTTAAATCTCTAATGAGATTGCTAAGTTCTTCTTGGTTAAACGTTTGTCGAATCTTTATCTCCTGTTTATCATACGGAAGGTAATAGTCGTCCTCATCATCGGTTCTCATGTCTTTATTTTCAAAATCTAGAACATCTTCAGTTGAACTGTCAATTTCCAAGGTTTTGGGAGAAGAAGGTGGATTGCATGAAATTTCTGGTTTTTTTACAGTGGGGACATTAGCATACAATATGTTCTTTTAATTTTTGTTATTATATCCTTGCACATTGGTGTTGCAAAAATAACAATCTTTTTGATTTAATGGGTTTTCCCACAAAGTTGGCTTTATAAACTTTAGTTTATCCTCTTTTTTATGATTCCAACGAGTTAACATTGTGTAACAGGAACTGCAAATTTTGTGTGGAACAAAATTTTTATCCTGATTGGTTATCTCAAGATCAAAATAATCTTTGTAGATCTGTTTGATATTTTCATTTATTGATTTACGATTTTTGGGGACATCGAATTGTCCACATATGTAACAAAATGCATCTGCATTGCTGTCGCATAAGTGTTCCGACGTTGTTACTGCAAAATTAAGTTTTTAAGCCTTTGGAGTTTTATTATTGTTTTGATTTTGAGAAGCCATGATTTATGTGAAAACCTGCACATTAGGGATCCTGGCCCGATCGCAGGTGAGTCCGCCGTCCTAGGGGTGATAACCCTCATACCTCCCCAGGTCTAAGTATGAGAGCTTTTCGACTTTGACGAGGACAAAGTCAACTCGTCGTCGGACACACTACTGCATCATCCTCACACCCTAACGTCCCCCTGCAGGGCAGCGCGCCTACGCTGGCTTCGTTACTTCGATAAACAGGAAGCGAATCATTCTACACATCCCCTTTCGGGGCAGTTGTCATCGCCTACTACATTTATCGAAGCAGCAGGATTAGTATTGTGCTGAAACACAATAAAAGTGCAAAGCGTACAAGGTAAACAATGTATTTTTAAGGAATAAGATAGTGACCAATGGTCCTTAATTACAGTACAAATCTTACACTTTGAAAAGGGATCATATACGGCCCTTTTTAGAGACAGCAAACGCACTTCCATCGGATAACCTCTGCATCAACTGCACTGGAAGTGAGACAAGCGGTGCACAGACATTTTTTCCGTGCAGGGGGTTCAAAATGTGAAAGTCTGACTATAGATTCGTAATCAGTGACCCAAAAAACCCCTAGATACCAACTTCGAAGTAAATCCATCAATAGTTAAAAAATTCGTCCCCCATATTGGAGCCAACATTTTAAATTTTGAAAATCTAACTTCAAATTCGTAATCAGCGACCCAAAAAACCCCTAGATACCAAGTTTGAAGCAAATCTATCAATTTTTAAAAAATTCGTCCGCCATATTGGATCCGCCATTTTGAATTTTGAAAATCTAACTTCAAAAAAAAAAAAAAACCCTAGATACCAAGTTTGAAGTAAATCCATTAATTTAAGAAAAAATAGCCTACCTCTCAAAATCCGACAGATTTTTTGAGGTTAGAAAAAAATCCTGACGTGATGGAGCAAAACGGACTTCGGATTCGTGTTCAGCGCGTCAAAATACATAGGAAATGACTAGTCTGGTCTGCCGCGCACGACACTTTTTTTTGGGGGGCTGTGTTATTATTTAGACTTAAATGAAGGCTGGGCTGCTTTTTTTGTCTGTGGCCAATGGGCTCACTGCAGTTATGCATAAAGATGAAGATGCAACCTTTACTTGTGAAATTTGTCGACAGAAATAGGTTGTTTCTTTTAGTAACCCATCTTGCCCCCTGGTGGGGCAAGATGGGGTGATTTGCAATTTTTTCTATATTATTAATTATAAGCTATTTAAGAATCAGATGGCCTTTGTACGCTTTTATTACGAAAGACTGATTTCAAAGATGATTTAAAAAAATAATAATAAAGTATATATTACATAATTTTCCTTTTTTGCGCTTTAAACCTTAAGTACCCCGTCTTGCCCCACTCTCCCCTATTAGAAGGAAGAAAAAAGAACAATATTTATGAAATTTAGTACCTTGTTACAATATTATATTAGAACGGATCTCGCTTTTAACACCTTTAATACAAAATCTATTAAAATTCTCAGTTTTTTACTATCATTTGAAATCAACAGATCCATCCATGTAAGCCCATCGGAGATAATTGAATTTTTGTTTTCAAATATAGAATTTCTTATTCCCATATATGCTGGGCACTCAACTAAAATATAAACAATAGTTTCTTTTACATTTGTATTACAGATTGGACAGTTGAGTGTGGGATCTATTAAAAATCTTTTTTTTTGTATTTTATGACCTGACGCCTGGTTAGCGATAATCATATTTGACATATTAGTCGAGTTATATACATCGGGAGACCTGAGTTTAGATAATAGAGTGTTTTTTCTCCGATCGGCAGACACGAATACAACTGAAGACTAGTTGAGCCCTCTACCCTTGCAATGTCTGTTTTTCTTAGGAAGGATTCATACAACGCTAGAATGACTCGTGACTTTAATATTAAAGTTTCATATTCTAACGCATTAACATTGTTCGGTAGCTGTACATCCTTTAAAATATTTGAAATTTGCAATGCCCAATTATATTTTAAGTTACTCTTATTACAAAGTTTGGCCCTTTTAAAAATTTCGTTACAACAAATTCTAGGGTATCTGTCCTCCTGCATACTATTTATTTTTGTTAACCAGTTTAAAATTTGTTTTAAAACCGTATATGAAAGACAGATTCTTCCAGCTTCTAGGCGTACGGCATAGTTTAGTGTAATTCCCGGTAACGATAAAACTCTCTTAAAAAAGTAAGTTTGAACCTTTTCTATAGTATCAAGG